TTACACAGTACAAAAGTTTGAGAACATACCAATCATTTGAAGCATGAGGCTTTTCTTGTGTGAAAATAACAATTTCGAGATGTGCAAAAACTGCGCAATTTATAATATCAAATTTCCTACATAAGATTTTCGTGCTTTAATGCAACTAAAGTTATTGTCGCTAAAGTTATTGTAGCATTTTAAAAAATTGACAAAACTCAGAATTGAAAAGCTGAGCAAAGTTAAATCCAGGCACAGAAACAAATGACGAAGACGCTATATCGTTGCTTTGTAATCCTTTATCTTTTATCTCGTAACTCCTCTAGATCTTTCCTTAGAATCTTCCTTGAAATTTATTGAGCGGCAGAGTAGATGTCTTTTCAGGCAGAGTTGCACGCAATATAAAACACTGGACGCCTTTCGACAATTTTTGACTTGGCCGACTAGATAACGATCTTTCATTGTCGGAAGAAAAGACGAACAGCCGTGAGTAGCTGCCATTAAAGTCAACGCAGAAGCTGCAATGGTCACTATATTCGCACCTACACCAGGTAGAGACAATACAGAACGTTACTAAGATATTCGACGATACTCATATGAACTAAGGGCAACATTCTTTTTTACTAAATATGACCGATATAAGGTCAGTCTAATAGAACTGTTCAAAGGCTAAAATAAAAAAGTCATTAAGATACGACTACAGATATTTCATCCTTTCTTCAACACAAACTGATAGCATTTTAATTCACCGCGGAATGTGTATTTTCAGGGCCTCTATTTATTTCATATATGCAACGACTATGGCCCTGTTTATACGTCGCATTAGAGACGAGTTTAATTCACACGAATTTAATTCCAGCAGTTTTCTTCGGCAGTAAAGCGACGTCTAAAACGAATTAAATTCGTATGGCAAATTAATTCGTCCTAGTCGTTTTATCCGTGTGCCCCAGACGTATAAAACGTCTGAAATGCGTCTCAGTTTTATACGTCGCTTTTCAGTCGCATCGAAGTAAATGCATACATTATTTCTCGACGACATAAATTATTCCACCGGTTAATTTTGAGCCCACGCTCACAGTTTTTACCTGCATGGCATGCGTAAGGGGTCAGGAGTTCCCGCGAAAATAGAAAACATGGTGACTGCAGGAGCCCTTTTCCNTTACACAAAAATCCACTCCTCGGAGCCCAGAAGCAACTATCTTGGTAAATTTGGTACAAATTCCGACGCCTTCGTCTCGCCAGAGCAATCTTTAGCATTACTGCCTCTCTGAACGCCGCCATGTTGTTTTTGGAAGTTCTCCGCCGATAAAAGTCAATGCAGGCACAAAACGACATCGAAATTATATTCGACGTCTAAAATGAATTGACATTTAATTTCGTCTCCCAGACGAAAAAAAATCACCAATTAAACTCGTCTCATTAAATGCGACGTATAAACCAGGCCTATGCTTCTAATCTAATTGATCCTCACTTTATTTCTGTGATGTTAGAGACTGACAGGAGGTTGGTCAGTCGAAAGGATCGACCTCGAGTTCAATCATGCATCAAGAACCGTGGAAGAACTAACCGTGATCCGTGTCGCGTTTACTCCAAATCGTGGCACAAGAATTCTCCACGGGCAAGAAAAATAACATGAAAATGCAGAGCAGAGTGTATGCAAATCCCTTCCCAGGTGCCTCTGTCACCAAAAGGATCAACCCCTTTACCTGAAGTATTGTTCCGGCGTGGTACATCAAAAAAATTCTCTTCGCGCGGCGTACATACCGCAATTTATCCAGTAAACCAACATTTGTACTTATCATAAAGAAACAGAGATCCACTGTATTACCTTGACCTTCTCGGAAGATTGCTGTTTGTTAGCAAAAGTGGGACACGTATCAATCTATTACCGAAGGTTTTAATTAATTGAGGGGAGAGAGGAAGAGATAGCAAACACAAAGTCATCAATGACTGCATCTACCCGCTGCATCCATTCATAATCCTACATCAGCACTTGAACTTGAGAGCCCCTTTTTTTTCTAGCAAGTAAAATTGAAAAAAAAAAAAGAAAAAAAAGAGGAGGCAAAGGAAAAACTGTACAAATAATAATTCTACCAAAATAGAACAATTAATAAAAAAGTGGGATCAATCGTCCTTTAATCAAAATGGTATATACTGTGGAAATAAATACTGATGTGTGATGTTGGCATATTTATCACTACCTCTTCGAGTGTCATACAGGCTATTTAACAATTATTCCACGAGCGCGCGTTGGATATGAGATGATAGATAGCCAACTCGGCGCTACGCGCCTCGTTGGCTATAATCATCTCATATCCAACAGGCGCGAGTGGAATAATTGTTTTATTAAAAACGCCCTCAAGAAATTATTATTATTTTGTAAGTAGAAAATGGATTTTTTAGCTCCCTTTTGATTTTAAGCTGACGCGTACGCTTACCATATTTGTAGATTATGGTATATTGGCTGATATACCATAATGGCTAAGCCAATAAAAAGTCTTGAATTGCATTATCCAATGATCCAGTTTTTAATAATTAACAATTATTCTACGAGCGCGCGTTGGATATGAGATGATAGATAGCCAACGAGGCGCGTAGCGCCGAGTTGGCTATAATCATCTCATATCCAACAAGCGCGAGTGGAATAATTGTTTTATTAAAAACGCCCCCAAGAAATTATTATTTTGTAAGAAGAAACTGGATTTTTTAGCTCCCTTTTGATTTTAAGCTGANGTATAGCTTGTTAGTCTCGTGCCCTTACTCCATGTTCCTCAGGAAATCTTAGGCGACTTCTCAGATTAAAAGTTATCAAACAATTTTCAACTTTCCTTAAACGTTTCCTACCAATGTCTGTTTCGAATAATATGATTAGATTATTGTGCTTGTTAAAGAGATATGATGAGCCAAACTAAACCCGTTTATGCCTGTACTGGCACTAATCGCGCTCGTAATTTTATCGTGTCACGGTACATTTTGACCTTATTAGAAACAGAAGTTTTTAGGCGCGCTATGCAAGGAAGTCTTCCCTGGGAAGGCCTAGGCTCATTTGTTACTCGCCGTTGACGTGTGCGGGTCAAATTTAAATGCTGGTAGACGAACAAAAGGAGCTAATGAGATATCTATTTTTTACTTCCACCAACATGGTGGCATGAGGTAACGTGCGAACCACCTACTTCGATCTCAAATTTACCTCCACAAATAAAGACAGTTTCCACTGGAGAAAGGAAATACAAATTCTTGTATTGGGATGAAGACATAAAACAGTTTTGAGGAATGCGCCCGCTGTTCACTGCTTTGGAGTAGCTGTAGCTCAAGCTGAGTTGACTGTAAGAGCTCTACATCACAGGACGGTTGATTGACAAATGGTCCAGTGGGACCTAAGGCTCCTTTTCTAGCGCGCCTTCGTGTTTAAAGAAATATTTGGAAAACCCTTGATAACTAGAAGTTCTTGAGCGTATGGAACAATTTGCTATACATTTTGTGCAAAA